CTATATGTTAGGAGTCTTGACCAATGTGGTTGGAGCAAATTCATCTAGTGAACAGCATATGGAATCTAGTTCTGGGAAGAAATGGGATGTGATTTAGAGATGTTTGCTTCCATATGGTTTATTTCTCCCACTACAAAGAACAGCAGTACCAAGATGTGAAAGTCAGAGAAYGTGTACTTCTCTCAGTGCTGTTTGTATGTTTGGTTGTTTGAACAAATGCATTCATCAACCAGGAAATGTTTTATAATCCTGACTGCTCTTACTTTCCTCAGCTTCTATTTTTCCATTATATACACTAATGATAGATTAAGTTCTTAAGAAACCATGTTATAAGTGTGCTTATAACCATGTTATAAGTGTAACATATGGCCTAATTGTTACAACACATTTGACAGGTGAGAAACTCTTAGGTTTGTATAATTGTGCAAGGTTACAGGCATACAAAGTCTTCAAGTCTATGAGACACAATYTGGGTTACATCCATGACCTTTCCACATTAAACCACCTTAGACTCACTTTCTTCGACACTCGTGGGCCTAGCAGTGTTAGCTCATTACAATTCTTGGTCCTCCTTACCTGCCTAATTTTGCCCAACTCTCCATTATAAACAATTTTTCCTCCATAACAAATCTACTTAGTACTACTCCTCCACATGTACTTTACATGCAAAGATACCACCAGGGAATCTTCTTAAAAATGCAGATTCTGATTCAGTATGTTTTCAATATTGCCTAAAATCCTGCATTTCTAACAAGTTCCCAGATGATTCCAATGCAGATGGTCTGGAGTCCACACCTTGAGTATGACAGTACCAAGCATCCAGTACCAAGCATCCTTCTCCTATGTGCCTTTGAATCTTGCCTTGACAACGTTCTTTCCACTCCTCTTCCTAGATGCTTAAGGGTACCACCTTCTCTTTAACATCTTTCCAAGTTCGTTAGTTCACACAGTTGTTGTCTGAATCCTAGTAACATTCCATTAGCTCTTGAGATTATTTCCTTGGGGTTTTTGTATGGGTATATTTATCTCAAACTAAATGTTCTACAAGTACAATTTCTTATATCTTCTCTATTTCTCTCAGCACTTAGCACAATATTATTCTGTAGTCAGTCATGTAGTGGATAATTTCATTTTCTTAGCATAGAAGTCCTTCTATAGAAACTTCCCCCTCTCCAATCTAAGGAAGACCCAGATCTGTAGACTATTAGCAGCTATGGCTTGTTCTCATGTCTTCACAAGAAATGGAATCAAATAGAGTTTGGAGTCTGTTCTCTGGCATTTGTAATTTAACTGGCAAAAATTTAGTCTCCTTCTTTAGGGAAAGTATATGTAAATGAAAATATGACCAAAGACCATGTTTTCTGTGTGTGTCTGGAAGGAAGAGAAGTTAGCTTTCAAATTGGAATGAATGAAGCAAATCCAGAGAAGCACAAAGGTCTTCCAGGATCACAGTCAGGAAAATGCCAGTCTTTCTGTTTCAGATGATGGTCTTTGAAGCATCCCTGTGCTGTTAGCCTTTGGCTCTCTGATAAATCAGCTCTTCTATTTTCTCTTAAGCAAGTTCTATGGCTACAGTTACTTATAATCAATCATATCTATCTATCTATCTATCTATCTATCTATCTATATATATAGATATATATATATAGTGTGTGTGTGTGTGTGAACAACTATGACTGGTATGATGCTTATCAATTGAAGCTCAAATATGGTAGCCTATTTGCCATCACATTACATAATGAAATGAGGGATGCGGGAACAAGTTCTGTAATACATTATCCTAAAGCAATGACATTTCTCAGTTGAAGTCTTCAGAGCACCTGTATCAAAGTTAGTCAAAGTGCTCTTTTAAAAAGATCCCTGGGTAACTTGGTTGACCTACTGAACTGTCATTTCTGGGGTAGAGACCAGGAATCTATTTTTTTTTGTGGGGGTCACTTATCAGRGATTGAACTCAGGGCACTCAACCACTGAGCCACATCCCCAGCCCTATTGTATTTATTTGGAGACAGGTTCTTACTGAGTTGCTTAGCACCTTGCTTTTGCTGAGGCTGGTCTTAAACTCATGATCCTCCTGTGCCCCTGGGATTTCAGGTGTGCACCACAGTGTCCAGAGAATCTACTTTTAAGTAGGATTTTCAAATTGTGCTGAAGGTCTAGCTTAAGGTTTTGTTTACCAAGAAGTACACATATTATTCTGCTTTAGCCTGAAGATTCACCAACCTAATGCTTTGACTTGACAACCACACCAATATCTGTGGGAGCTGAGGGAAGGATGCTTTGTTCTCTGAATTCTAGATGTCTTCCTCAAATTGTCACTACTTACATCCTAGTAGCCTAAAATGTTTATAAAAACCTTCAGAGGRCTGGGGTTGCGGCTCAGCGGTAGAGTGCTTGCCTAGCACTTGCATAGTCCTGGGTTCGATCCTTAGCATCACATAAAATAAATAAGCAAAATAAAGATATTGTGTCCAACTACAATTAAAAAATAAGTATTTTTTTTTTTTAAAGAGCTTCAGAGACGGGATTATACTAATTTCTCACGTTCCTTCTTGTGGTTATCATTGAAGTCAGTGGTGGGGGTCCAACTGCCTTTGCAGTAAATTAGGTTTCTCCCATGATCCAATGACGCTGTGCTACAATTTAGCCTGTTTTTTCGTATTCTGACCTCAGGATCAGTGCAAAGAGCTTTCTTGTCTTAACCTCTGSTTTAGTCTTAGAATCCGAGCGAGAAATCTAGGTTTCTGCATCTTCAGAGGTCTCTGTAAACATCAATTCATAGTGATTATACCAAAATAATAAGGTGTTTGAAAGTAATGAGTTTTCTTTCTTCCATTTTCTTTGCTGAAAGCCAATGAAAATGTATTCAAATGTACATGGAAGTTAATAAGAAAAAGTTCCCTTAAGTGTTGCTCTGAAATATTATGTAGAGGTCTTAATCCTATTATCACAGATGAGTACAACACTTAAATATCTCCTTCATGGCTGTTAAAGCACAGTAGAGTCAATTCATGCCCAGGGAGCTTTAATCACACATCTTGGTCATGATGAACKTAAAGACTCAGTGCAGGCTATCATGGCAGTGGCCTGGGTACTGGGGGAGTTGTTAATGGGAGCACCGCCAGCATGCACTTCAATTACTTTCAAGGAGCACTTCCAATCTAAAAGCTAAATGAGGATCATTAGAGTGGCTTTACATGCAGCATTTCTTGGGAAATTCCACATTTAAAAGAGGCCAGTTATTTGCGTTCAATGGATACAACTGAGATTGCGTAAGGGATGCACATATTATTGTCAATGGTTTAAAGTTTCACTGGTGAGAGTGAATTAATGGTTTCTTAACTGGTTGAACTATCATGGTTTTACATTTTTCTGACTCCTTATATTACTCGATCACAAACAAGATGAAAGCAGGGCCATGAAGAAATACGTCACGTGGCAAAATATTCATCATTATAAGAAAGAGCTGGTTGGAACGGTGAAAGACATCTGGTTATTGAACACTGACACTAACTGAGTTTTTTAGGGTGCCCCAGGTGGCATTCATTATTAACCTTGTTTTCTCTGCTAAAACTCAATTTGTATCCTCACACCCCAAACTAGAAACCACACAAACGGTTTTAAAGGCTACTGCATAATTTAAAAAGACATTATAATGTAGAGGAAGGGCAGTGAAGAAATAAAAGCCTGGACATGTAAGAAAATAAGACAACCTACAATCCAATGTGAATTTCCCCAAATTGAAAATGGTCTTCTGAATGGCTGAAGTAGAATAAAGGAAAAGATGAACAAGAAGGAAGAGAAGTGGGGAAGAGAATAAGAGATTTCTTTTATGTCCCATCAAATAGTTGACAAACATTATTTGATTATGCAAACTGATAAAAGGCCTAGGGATGGAGGTGGATGCTAGTATACCTGCACAGTGCTTACCCTGCACAATAATTCAAAATAAAACCAGGAAATCTAAAGATTTTGGGAAGGCCATGCAGATAACTCAGATTGCCACAGGCCCCGCTATTCCATATTCACGTGGAACTTCATATACTTGGTGCCTCTCCATCTACTTGAGGTTGGACCCCTCGAAAGGCCTGWGATAGGGTGGAATATTACAGCTTGTAGGGATTGAGGGATCAWGTAGCCCAAATGCCCCGTTTAAGGTGGATCTGAGAGAGAACAAGGGAAGTAAGAAGGAGGGTAGTATTTTAAGATTCTTAGCAAGTAAGTCAGTAAAAACCATTAGGAATCTTAGCAGCTTAGGGACCAAACAGCTATTTGTTRTTTGTCACAACCATGAGATTCAGATGGAGCTACCAGAATAAGGACAGTTCAGTTATCAATAATTCATCAATTGTTTTCACTATAGATCCCTGTTGCTGTGGAATAACAGAAATGCCCAGTTTCATAACACTTAAGATATGCCACGATATCCAAATACACATACACACAAAGGCTTTTCATTTATCATCATCAAAACTTCACAGTTTTTAAAGACAATAGTATTTTAAGACCATATTCAGTTCACTRTTCCTTCATAAATAGGCAACTTTCTGGGAATGCATCAATATCTTGATATTAGTGCTAGTATTATTTTAGACAGAGGAATAAATTCATTCACAAACAACACTGAAAAATCTACTTATTCCTTRTAACCTCTTTTTCAGTGAAGAATCTCAGCATACCTCAATGTACTTGGCATCCATTTGTATACTGGGAAGCTTATCAATTCAGAATATTTTATGAACTTTACAACCCAAAATGGTAAATCAATATCACTAAGTATTAATATCACTGAACAAACATAAAATAACATCTTGAAAAGGTACAACTACTACATTGTTAGTGTGAATATTTTTAAGTTGGCTATTCATTCAACATTTTTATATTGGATTGTGAGTCATATTTAATGAAAAAAGACCTGATATTCATTTTCAAGAATATGGACAAAAAAAAGAGAAAGGCAACTCTTGGAAGTGCTACAAAGTAAATACACAGTGATTTACCTCATATTCCTGGGAAAACTTCAAGTTGTCATTTGCTTTCAACCTTTCAATGTGATCTGCAAGTTCCAAGATAGGTATTGGAGGATGGCTAGCCATACCTATTAAAAAAGGAAAGAAAAAATGCCTTTGAAAACAGATGAAAACTATGTCAACTCTTCCAAAATATAGAGAACACTGTAGTTAGAAATGGCCTAAAAATATGTGAGTAGTAAAGATGTTTTAGGTGAGGAAGCAGGCAGATAGTTTGGTTACTCAAAGCAGGACATGCTCTTGAAGGATGGATTTTGTAGCCAAATAGAAAAGTCACCAAGCATAATCCCCAAACTAGCACTCCTAGTGTGAAAGAAAGCGTTATTGTGCTATGAGTCAATGAGGTTAGCTAGCGGAGAAAAACCGAGTCAGGCTTGATGTCAGCTTCTGCTTTGAGTAATGACTGTTATGTCATTTCAAACTCCTTCTCCTGCACTGTGTGAAATGGAAATTGGGTGGAATTAAATGGTGTAAAGTGAGCTAAGAAAACAGACACTGAGAAAGGCCTAAAAGGRAAAGAGTAGTAGCTTGATAGGAAACAAAAAGTGACTTATGCATAATCAAGGAAAACTAACTTGAAGAATGAAGGTTACCAGGGTAACCGGAATCATCTGAACCTGCAAAGGAAATGATGGTGTAAATAAAAGAACGAATTTGTTGGAAAAAAAAAATAATGAAATGGATAGCCTGATATGCTTTCAAAAAGGACTAATAAAAATGCTGCAAGTTTTGGCAGGATTCACCGTACATTGTGACTAGATTAGGATCGCTTTAGTATTGTACAAACCTGTAGGTGACTGACATTCACATGCAAACATGGACACAAAAAATGACATGCACCACAGCTCATTGACAATAATCACTGTCGACACAGCAGACACCAAACTGAACTTCAAAAATGTTTCCACTAGTAGCAGATTGTAGTGATTGGGGTTGCAGCCTTCTCCTAAAGGTTTATAAATGGCCACACTAACAACTTTATGGTATTTTACCCAGGTCCCAGTATTCAACCCCCAGAAAACCTACAATCTACTTCAGGTGTAAACATCTTTGTCCACTAATGGCAAATGAATTCAGGAAAGTGAGCACATGGTGAAAGGACTAGGATCCAAACAGGGTGGGAAAGGAAAGAAAGCAGGGGGTGGGGTGGAGGCTCACAYATCTTAGTTCAGTCTGCCAGCTGACAATATATTAATTCCACAGATCTTGTTAAAAATAATCCACTGTTAATTATGGTGATTCCTGTGTTTTTATGATGTCYTTTAACTTTTCATAGGATTTGCTCTTTGTTTCATTCTGATTAATTTTGCAAGAATATCATGAGAGAGCTTGGCTGACTCATTGCTTAGAGTCACAATGGCAGCTGGCTAGAGAAACCTGAACTAACATGTCCCCAGGGAAGCCTCAGAAGGAGAAAAGTCCTGAGGGAGAAGCTCAAACTGGAAGCTGTCCACATTCTGCTGTCACTGGGACCCTCTGGAGGGTGTGGGGCTGTGGAAAGATGACCTTTAAGTCCACATGACAGGGGACTGGTTTATGGGCACTTTAGAAATTATGCCTTATTGAAAGTCACCCAGTAAGTTCCTCACCTCCAATGCTGAATTATCAATGGTTCTGGTTAATTAAGTAAAAAGCTAGTTTGCTTCTTCAAGACTACCACTTAGCACAGTGCTGTGAGTTGAGGTGGTTAAGAGTTCACGGCTGTGAAGGTCTGTTGCCAGTCAGCCAAAATCTTGAGTRGAGATCCAATAAAAACGAATTGGTTAGAAATAGAAACTCTTTGTTGGTGATATAATTATGCATTTGGACCAACATTTTGGAGCCCTTTCTGAAACTTTTCTGTAGAGAGGGTAGAATTGAACTAATTTGCATTCTAGGGAGGGAGTGGGTGGGTGACAGTGATCTGATAATTAAAGTGATCTTATCCAGATGAGGCACTCCCCAGTGAAAAGAATGGAAAATGCAAAGACACAAGAGACTTTAGGCTTATCTGGAAATGAAAATGGACTGATGTGGACATCATTACAGTGCTTTAACAGAGAAAATAATAGAGACAAAGATGTTTAGACCTTTTCGAGCGAATCGTGGGAGAGAGTTATTATCATATATGGACTGAGTGGTGGTTTGGCTAGAGAGGGAGGACACAGAGCCAATCAGGGAGGCGTAGGGGACTGAATTACTGCTCAAAGCTGCAAAAAGTAAAGCCAGTTGGAGATGGGAAAAGTATTAGTATAACAGCAGTAGAAGACCATAATAAACAACCAAAGATGCGATCAACACATTTACTTTGGGCATGCACTGGCACATGGTCTGGGAGTATTACTTTGGAAACTAATTACAGAGAAATCCAAGCAAATCTGTTCTTTCTCTCAATCAAAATATACACTGCATGCATAGATACCACAGCATTAAAAAAATCATTCTCTGAGACTTGTGAGTAGTACCATTTTGCACCAAATTTCTAGGGCAAATAAAAATGGCGGAATGGATGCTTCACAGAAAAAGGGCAAATTTGTGGAAATCCAATGGCACAAAAGAAATCCTAGCCCAGAATACTGGACATGAGTTTTACTTCTGGTTTGGCCATGTACTAACAGAGACAAATTACTTATTTTCAAGCAGGTCAATTTCTTTATCTGTAAAATCAAAGTGTAGAACTAGATAAATTCTGTATTTCACAGTTCTCATTTCTGCCACATATACATAGGATTGCTGAACACAGCAGAGACCAGTCTGTTTGACTTTGTTCATATATAAGGGTCCTAAAAGTTATTGCAGCTTTTCTTTAAGGGGTGGGAGCACTGATTTTTGTAAAACAGGAAACTAGTACTCAGTTGAACTGTCTATGTTCTAAATTATATAAACTTAATGACATTTTCTTTAGCTAGCCAAGGATAATTTCGATGATATATTGAGTATCTGAAAGACTGAATGTCAAAAAATTATACCAAAGAATAAACCTGACATAAAACAACTCTAACCTGAAACTCTTTAGTTTATATCAGAAAACAATCACCAAGGATGTACTCCTAAATAAAGATATATCACTTCCCAGAAATTTCTTCATTGCCTTATGTTGAATACAATTTGTGATATAATGAAGCACATTATATGCTGAATGAAAAAAATAGACACTAACAAAATTAAGAATACCAAGTTGATCCCACTGTAGTACATTTTCAGTCTTTTGTCTGGCCACCTGGCCATCGCTCAGTTTAGAAACCAAAGGTTTTTATTAGAATAGTATTTTCRTATTTGATTCTGAAGTGCCTTAAAATTTCTTCTTGCAGGCTGCACACCAGACCAATTAATTCACAAACTCTAGGTGTGGATGCCAGACAGTGATATATTTTTAAAGTTTACCAGCCTTGGCTCTCTGTTCTGTGGGAACTCATGATGGGGGGCAGGGGAAGGCCTATAACTCCATTTATTACTGTTTTTTTCCTAACCCAACAGCCTGTCAGGATTTATGAGAATGAGATGAGCTTTCTCCTGGTGCTATCTTTGAATCTCCTCTGAYTCCCCATTAGCAAGCATTAGTCCTTTAGCTATAATTAGCAGCAAAGAACATGAAGCACTGCTAAGGACTGATGGGGACTTGCTAGTGTCACGGCCTCATCAATTCAAAGCTACAAACGYGCGACACAAATGCATTTTAAAGGCACACGTTGAATCTGAGCAGTTTTCATACTGAAGCCATGATACCTAAAACATAGAGTGTCATCGTGAAAAATGACAGACGCAGTCACTAAAATCTGCCTTCGGTTGGAGGAAAAAACATGATGCCCACTTTTAATGGGTACATGTTTGTGCTAATAATGTCATGGTGACTTCCTTCTAAGAAGTACAACTTGAAAATCATGGCCTTTTAAGCTGAGAGGTATCTTAGAGGTTACTTAGCCCAGGGGTTTTCGTTTTATACAAGATAATTCTGAAGTCCACAAAAGTTAAATGACCAGTATGTATCCCAGATAATAAACAAGAATGTTCAAATGCTGTTTGGATATCTTTCTACTGTGCTATTTGAATGGTAATTAGAATCATCTAATTCAGTGGCTGTTCCCATGACTGAGGGGGCCAAGGCTGGCAAGGTAAATAATCAAAGATGATTAGGTACTATGCAGTAAATATTTTCATAAAGAAAAGCACTCAKAGGCTTGGGCTGTGGCTCAGTGGTAGAGCACTACCCTAGCACATGTGAGGCACTGGGTTCGATCCTCAGCACCACATAAACATAAATGAATAAAGTCATTGTGTCTATCTACATCTAAAGAAAAATATTTAAAAAATTTAAAAAAAGCATGCATTCCCTTTTCCACACAATAAGCAGATTTTGGAGGCTGTCTTTAGTTYCCATACTTTCAATACAGGTTCAGAAGAAAATGAAAAATAACAACACAGATGAGATAAAATGGTGACTAATRCTCAATCTCAATTTCAGAACCATCTTAGGGCTGGTGGAAATGCAGGAATTTCTGAGAAGGGGAGCTATCCAGCYTTAGCACTTGCTCTGCCAAGTGGAAATGCAGTCTGACAAGGTCAGACTTCTCAGGTTTCAATGATAACGGAAAATCCAGATTATTTTATAACATCTCCTCAGTTTTYAGCATTGACTCAAAATTTTCTTAAAATCTAGTGCACATCAAAGATAGGACCTTCTCAGGCTATATTCTGCCAACCAGATTGTGACCTCTGTTTAAAATAACAGAATCTTCCTTTTTGTAAGTRTAAAAATTAAAATCAAAGACTGCTAGTAGGGACAGACTGCATGCTAGTATCCACAAGGCAATGGGTGTGGTACCKAGATTTATGTTGGAGATATAATATGGGTACTTTTTTGATGGTTCATTCTCTACGGGTTCATCTATCCTCCTCTCCTCCAACTCAAACCACTATTAATYTTACCAGTTAAAATGAAGATGAAAGGAGTTAAAGGACTTGATCAAGGTCATCATTATCAATAAAGTATGGCAACAGAGAGGCTCTGACCCTAGACCATGTCATTCTCACTTAGGGCACCTCTCCWCATGCCATGCTATCTCCCATCATTTAACACTCGTGCAAGAGT